TTTCTTCATTTGAGGGAAAGGTGGTGTAGTGACAAGCGGCACTCTCACCACACGCATGGTTCGGGGATCGAATCCTGGACTGGCACGCACCCAAGGCAACAAAGCTTTCCACCTTCGGAGCGGCAATTCTAAATTTTTTTGGCACCATTTCACCGTCTACGCAGGATAGAGGGCAAAAAAAACACTGGCTTGTACATCGGCTAACCCCCGCAAGTCACTGCAAAAACCACATCGCATTCAGTCAGCCGCTGCGACTTTGAATGGAAGTTCGCATCCCATGGAGGATTAACCAACGGCAAAGACTTTACCTTCCAACTTTCTAACGATGATTCTAGGGAGAGTTTTGTGCAACGAGAAGCCTGTTCTACATACAATCGTAGGATGAACGAATCAGGGATACATCTTGAGCCCTTCACATCAGTTCGAGAACTGGAGACACATCTCATGGCCACTTGGGAGGACACACCCTTTGCGTGAATGGTGAGGAGCTGCATGATGCATGTCGCTTTTGAAATTGCGGAGCAAAGGTATTAGATGTTTGCTATAACGTAAAACGCCGCCCATACTCGGTAAATCCAGATTGGTTTACTTGAGACTACTGCATAGTGCTGTTTTTGTACTTCTCGCTCTCGCTGTAAACGTGACTGTGTGATCCACTGCAAAGATCTCTCGGTGACGCTTGAAGTTCTCTGCATCTCTTTTTATCATGAACTCGCCCAGTGCCGGCAATCAAAGATCCTTGTTTGCAGGGCTCCCAAAGATCTGCTTTGTTTTCACTGCTGACCTAGTTTTTTTTTCTCCGCTTTGTACCTACGAATTCATGCGTAGAGTCTACTACCTATGAACTGCGGACACGAAGTACCAAACATATGTACCAAACATCACAAGTTCTCGCAAGGAGAAAAGAGGACTAGGTTTCTTTCCGAATATCACAAGTCCTCGCGAAGGAGGATAACGAAATAGCTCCGACCTCAGGTTCCTCAGCTGAGGTCATCGAATAAGTTTCATACGCATTGGGAGCGCATTGTGTTTTTGCTTGGTACTTAGTCGAAAGGCTTGTCTAGTTTAGGCAAGATCCAATACAACCGTGCAAGTCCCGAGCCTCGGCAGGACTTCCTACATTTTCTTGCAATAGATAATAGCTACTTGCATAACATCGGTAAATTGACCCCACTGCAGGCACTTGGTGCTAACGTACATCGGTCTTTGTCTATGAAATAACATTTACAATGGCCAGTTGTCAAGAGCAAGTTTTCAGTCAATACATCACGTCACTGAAAATACGTACCGTGGCCAAGTTGCCAGCAAATGTGACCTATCACAACAAAATATGACGGTGTCGGAAAGAAGTTCATGTAAACGTAGATCAGTGCCGCAATAAGGTTAGACATACAGATTGATGATGTTTGCAAGAAGTACTGAAAACGTTTTTGTCATGGTAACATCCATTACATAAGCCTAGCGTTATTATTGCACGTAGAAACTGGTCAGTGAATCTAAGGCCACCAAGATCACATAATAAGGCTGAACTCTTATACAGTATTAATTTAGCTATCAGAACGTAACACTGGAATAGGCGCAAGACTATTCTAAATTTCTCGAGCCAACTCAAAATTTTAGTGCCACTTCTACGTGGTTGCTGGCAGAATAATGCATTCTAATTGTTCCAGATTCGAGTTCCAGAATCTGTCAAGTTAATGAGAAGCGAAGTACTAAACATTGTTTAATCATTGAAGACATGTAGCTTTGAGCAGGGGTTAACCATATCGCACAGGCGGGCCAGAACGCCACCATTCTTTTTGCTTCACGTATTCTTTTTTACAAGCTCCATTTTGATATCAGCTCTAGCATCTCGTATCAGTGATTCTTGTTATATGTCTGTCAAGGGTCCTTTCATTTCAAGCAAGCCTTCAACGAAAAAAAATTGGGCAAAGCAACTGCATTGAAATCAAAACAGATGTTGTTGTCATCTACGAGTCCTTCATATCAGCTTAATAACTGTAATAGGTGAGCGACGCCATTAGGAGAACAGGGTGACTCAAAGATCATCTATGGAAATGTCAAGCGTGTACGTAGAAAAGAAAAAAGCTGCGCTCTATCAAACGATGATGGATAAACTTACTGATTTCTGCGCCCATGTGAGGCCACTGCTCGCCTTGGAGTGACGGAATAAAACTCGGGAATACTGTACATACAAGAGGCAAGTGAGAATTACGATAAGAAGATTATTCACGGTATGTGGGTAGTTGAAGAACTGAAAACATCAATCAACAAAACTAGAGCTTTTTAATCCAGCCCCTGGGTAAGATCGGTCCCCATTAGGAAAATAGGTGCTATTAGCTGTTCACGGCATGCTACTATCAAGGTTATGCAAAAATTTCCGCTCCGTATTCAAAATCGAAAGAAACGTCATTTGTTTATGAAAATATCCAGACATTGTTATCAATGGCTGACGGAATTTGCTCACGCGAAGGCTGCAATATATGATGCCAGCATTGGTAGTGCAATGGTGACACCACACTGAGTAAGGCACATGCTTACTTATAGGTAGGCCACTGCTTTCCAATATCATAAATCTCGCATATTAGCTCAATATTCTAGAAAGTTCCCACTTTGACAACGAAAGGCTTATGGCATTGTGTGATGGTGCACGGCTGAGCTTTGAGCAATCCTGTCCAATTCTTCTCATTGGAAAATACTAGTAGAACAGGAAGTTTCCGTCACTGAAATCACTGACTAATGGATCGAATGACCAGTTCGCTGCCTTGCTCATTTCAACAAATTGCAACTAAGCCCATTTGTCAGACACGGTAAGCTCAGCTAGACGAAGACGGAAATGCACAGTGCTGCCGTTGATCCCTCTCCATACCATCATTTTTGAATGACAGCTGCTAAAGAGCGCAAACTTCGTTGACGGTTGATTGGTCGTGAAATTGGAGATAAGTCGTCCAGTCACACGTTCTCTTTGTGCGGTAGACGTCTCCAGCCTTCCTATCTGTTTTTGCCGCTCCAAAGTTCTGACTAGGAAGATGTCGTCTGGTGACAGACGGCGAACGCTCATACTACTCGAACGACTATCTCTTAGCAAAAGGAGTTCATTTCGGTTAATTTTTAAAATGTGTCTATACTTATGATACGAAGCAAGTAGAAGCCTGTTGCTCAAAAAAAGACCGGGTCTTTTCCACGCTAGCACGAAAAGCTTTCAAAATTTGTCGAGATATTTAATAATAATTGTATCCATCCGCTAACTTCCCTGAAGCACGCATGTGTCCCCACACTCATACGGGACGCTTTTATAATAATCTTCTGAAAAGCACACCCAGTTCACTGGCGTAAATAAACACCACAGAAAAGCGAGAATTTGAGCATGGCTTCATACACTGCGAAGCATAATCATAGTTCCACCCATGAATCTCACAAAATCCTGTCTTACACGAAGTTTTCCAAAATGCCCCCATACAAAAAATGTGGTAATTACCAATACCAATTCGCATGCCAACAACAAACACTAACTTGAAAAACAATTTTTTTTCGTCAATTTTTTTCAAAAATGGTCGTTCTGACAACGCAGCAAAATGATAGTTCCACCGAACAAATCGAATATTCCAACAAAAAGTGTACAATAAAA